ACCCCCGCCCGGGCCGTACAGGCGCCTCAGCTTGGGCGGCAGATGCAGCTCGGCCTCGAACGGGGTGCTGCTGCCCTTGGGGGAACCTGCGAGCAAGGGCAGGGGCCGTCAGCGCGCCAGGCGCCTCTCCCCGCGCTGTCCCGGGGCCCACTTTGCGGGCTTGCTGGGGCTTCCCGGCTTGCGCGTCTCCCTCTCTCTCCGGGTCTCCATTACTCTATTTCCCCTTCTCCCGTTCCCCCCTTCTTTCCTCTCCTTCGCTTGCGCCTCATTATTTTTCTTTCTTTCTTCATCTCACTCTTGGCGTGCGGCGCCACTTCTTTTAGTATTTGCACTTCCCTTTTCTTGGTCTTTCTCACCCTCTTCTTTCGTTTCTTTATCCCTTTTTTTCTTGCACCCTTCTTTTCACTGTATCTCCCTGGCTCCTTCCTCTATTTTGTTGTTGCCCACCCACCCCCCAACCCCACCTGTCAATTTCTGGACAGGGAACAATCGGGAACATTCAACAAATTAAAACAAAACAAAACCAACGCTACCCTGGAAACTTTGCACAGGACCTCATTGCGCAGCTCCGCTGCTGGGTCCCCAGTGGGCAAGAGGGGCGCAGCCCTGCGGGTGACCCCTGCGGGGGACACCGGCCCTGTGGCCCCCAGGCGGGCCCAGGCCTGGCCCCTGCAGCCCGCAGCGGGAGGGGCCTGGGGCACCCTGCAGGAAAAGGCAAAGGCAAACCACCCCTAGGAAAGGCGCGGCCAAAGGCTTGGGAATGGGGAAGATAGGGACTCAATGGGCCCTGGCTGCTCCTTCCCTTTGAAGAAGCGCCTGGCACCAGGGCCACCAAAGACTGAGAAAAGGGGGGAAAAGAAAAAGAAAAGGGAAAAGTCAGTTTTGTTTTAAAGGGCCCCTTCTCCGCCGTTGCCCTTCTCTTTCAAGTGGCTCTGCCACTGGACCGCCGGTTTTCGGATTTGACTAGAAACCAAGCCTTCTTGCCCTGAGATACTTCCACCGCCAGCTCAAGGAGAAACTTAAGCGGAACAGATTCCGAGGGGAAAACCGACAGTGGATCTGGAATTCTTAGTTTTCGAAAAAAGAAAACACAGCCTTTCGAACCGCATCGCAAACAGCTCAACTATATGTAAAAAAAAAAAAAAAGTAATATAACAGAGTGGGAAAAGGGCCGCCCAGAAGCCGCACATTGGGCAAATACAATGAGGAACATTTGGGGGACTCCTGGGGAGACATTTTCTACAGAGCAGAGGTTTCAAAGGTCACAAGTAATCGACTTTTTAAAAAGTGTCCCCCCCAAACCCAAAAACCGCATCTAAAGAAATTCACCAGGGAGGAAAGGCCCAGTTTGCCTGCCCAGAGCCCCCATTTACTATGGGTTGGGGCCTCTTGTCTGCACAAGTTGTCGCTACAAGGATCCACCCTGACACCTACTACTTCTGACCTGTCGCCTCTTTCCAGAGTACACCCAAGGCTATCAGAGGTGGCATTTAAACCATCTATGACCAACACTGGAACCCAAGGGCCCCAGGAAGCACAGCCAGGCCTCTGATGCTGGGAAGCCAGGAGGGAGCAAGGGAGCAAGCGCCCCTGGAGAGATGTTTACTGCTCAGGGAAGCAGCAGGCCTCAGGGTAGTCCCCTCTGACTCCAACTGGACCACCAGAGGCCCGCAGCTCCCACACATCAGCTGCCCCAGCCAGTGTCCAGCGCCCTTCACAGGGGCCCGCAGGGCGCAGCCTTACCTTGCAAGGCCTTCTCCTGGTCCGCGCGGCTGGCCAGTGGGGCGGGCAGGCTCTGCGCCGCCCCCAGCAGCCGCATCTTGCACGGGCTCCTCCGGCCCAAGATGCTGTCGATGCAGTAGGAAGAGAGCAAAGTTGGCGATTTACTTTTGCACTCGGGCCTCTCAGGGCAGCCCTCGTCCTGGTACTGGTTGCTCATGGTTAGGGCTTTCTCGCTAGGCAAAGTGAGCCGGTCCCTGGCTGCCTCTCCCGGAGGGTGGATGGCTGGGTGTGTGCTGGAGCTTGGGGGTGGGGGAAGGGCTGGTGCTAACGGATCGGGCTGCGATCTCTGTGCTCTGCCTCCCTTGGCTGCCGGCTGCTGGCTCCCGCCCTGCCTGCGGCCAGAGCTCGCCCTCTCCGCACTCAGGACAGGCGGTAACAAGTGTAGTGAGCCGGGGGCGCGGAGCGCTGGAGTCTCTCTCCTCCACGTGCTGAGAGCCGCTGTGTGATTGGCTCTCACTAGAGGCCGGGCTGCGTCAGGCTGGGGGCGCGGCGCAAAGCCCGGACTGGATTTTGGAGGGGGCGCGGGAGGGGGCAGCGGGCACGCACCAGGGCCAATGTTATGTGTGTGTTGTGTGTTGTGTCTGTGTGTATGGAGTGTGTTTAAACTAACAACTTTAGAAGTTTGCCATCGCCTTCCGGCGGCCCCTCCTTTCGCCCTTTCAGGTGGGCCCAGGAGCTCCAGCTTTCTGATGTCAGGCCTGTAGGTGCCTTCAAAAGACCCGAGGGCCTCGCTTGGCAAAAGGCAGGTCAAGTAGGTTCGCGGCCAGGCAGGCCTGGCACCCCGCTAAGGCGAGCTCGCATTGGCCTCAGTGTCGCTCCTGGGCCATGGACTGTCCGGCTCCAACGGGCCTCCTCGGCCTGGGGGACAGACGAATGTCACACCTGGCGCCTGGACATCCAGTTGTCTCTTGTGACCCTAAACCCTATGCTATTTGTCTTCACCCAGAGACCGGCTGTTGCTACCTTTCTTGTTGGGAGAGTTCCCCCGCAGAGCCCCCCTTAAACCCTGAAGCTCTGCCCAATGCATGGCCTGCCCTAGAGTCCCTAGGGAGTGGGAAGGGACCCTTGAGGGACCGCTGAGCTGTGAAGGTGGCCAGGGACAGTCTAGGGTCTCCCCCTTCGCCCAGATTCACCTTCCCTCCTCCGAACCTCAAAAGTTCATCTCTGTTAGTGATGTGGTCACCCCGAGGCTCAAAGACCTAGAACCAAGCCAGGGAACAGAACCTAAGGATGACTCTGAGTGGTAAGGAACTAGGAGCGATTGCTGCCCCCAATCTCAGTGCCACCCCCCCTTCTCCTCGATCCCCACGCTGGGCCCCCAAGAGCAAAGGGGAGCAGGGTGAGCCTGAGGGCCACGCCTTGCTCCCCAAAGCGGTGGCCAGCAAAGTGAGCCTGAGGGCCAGAGCGTTGCTCCCCAAGCAGCGGCCAGCGAGGCAGCCCAGAGCCGCGGCCCGGTCTGGAGAGGGGCCAAGCGCTGGCGACACGGGGGCCTTCAGGGCCGG